CCAAATCACTCTCATGGGAAGGGATCAGAAGTTGTGCCAACTGAAGTACAAGCTGTAGTGGATAGATTTTCCCTAGTTTTTTCAGAACCAGAAAGATTACTTCCCACTAGGTTTAATGATCACCATATACCAATCAAAGAAGGAGCACAGTCCTTTAAACTCATACCTTACAAATGTCCATATGTATAAAAAATAGATATTGAGAGAATGGTAAAAGAAATGAAAGAAAATGGGATAATACAATCACGTAAAAATCCCTATGCATCTCCAGTACTTCTAGTAAAGAAAAATGATGGGACTTGGGGATTTTGTGTAGATTATAGGCAGCTCAATAATCTCACTATTACCCAAATCACTCTCATGGGAAGGGATCAGAAGTTGTGCCAACTGAAGTACAAGCTGTAGTGGATAGATTTTCCCTAGTTTTTTCTGAACCAGAAAGATTACTTCCCACTAGGTTTAATGATCACCATATACCAATCAAAGAAGGAGCACAGTCCTTTAAACTCATACCTTACAAATGTCCATATGTATAAAAAAATAGATATTGAGAGAATGGTAAAAGAAATGAAAGAAAATGGGATAATACAATCAAGTAAAAATCCCTATGCATCTCCAGTACTTCTAGTAAAGAAAAATGATGGGACTTGGGGATTTTGTGTAGATTATAGGCAGCTCAATAATCTCACTATTGAAGATAAGTAGCCTATGCCATTGAATGATGAACTATTAGATAAATTAAAAAGGGTAAAATAGTTCACCAAGATAGACTTGAAGGCAGGGTACCTGATGTAGGAAGGTTAATAATTCAGTAAATAACAGGAAGAGATGGGGGAGGGAAGAGAAGAAGAAGACAGAGGCGGGGAAGAGAGGGGGAACGGCTGCAAAACCAACTCTTTATTTCATCAAATTCATCATCAAAAAATTACAAACCAAGATAGGTTTAAATAATAAAAACCTAGAAATATAGGGCCAAGCCCATTATTTAAGTCCTAATTAAAATACGTAAACTTAAATAAAAGTCCAACTGAAACAATAATAAAAGTCCAACTAAAATACTGAAACAATAATAAAAGTCCAACTATAAGGATGTCCTCATCAACTCTCCCGGGGTGGGAGAAAACTCGACCCTGTCGAGTGGATATATCACCGTAAACTCTCGTCAATCTCCCAACCATAAGCTGAGTAGTTGGGCAAGTTTCTTCCGGCGTCTGTAGAAATGCGTCAGTGCGGTCTGAACCTGGTGTCCTCATCAACTCCCCTCGGGTGGACGGAAGGCGATCTGGGCCAAGGAAGATCCTGCTGACTCCGATAAAGCTCTAGCAAATCTGGATCCAAATGCTAGAGTGTCTCCCTGGAGATCCATGCACAATCAGAATCTGGTCGACCAACCCAACGAACAAGGAAGCGCTGAACCTCTCCATCATTAGTGAACACGGTTTCTTCATCTAAAATAGCATCAATTTTATCTGTGTGTGCTGTGAGAGGTGGTAGTGGGTTAGAGGGGGCCAAAGAATTAGGATCAAGGTCCACAAAAGGAGGTAACAGGGGATCATCTGAGGGAATGAAATGGCCTTTATAAGCTACAAGGTCTTCAACATTGAAAGTATGGTGGTAACCAATGTGGGATGGAATGTCAACAATATATGCATTTGGACCAACTTGCTTTAAAATTTTAAAAGGACCAGCACTACGAGCTTGCAATTTGGAGGCGGGTCCATGTAGACGCCGCTCTGGCCTAATGCGAACCATAACGTAATCCCCAACATTAAACTCAATATGTCGTTTATGTAAATCAGCTTGTAGTTTATAATTTGCATTACTAGCTTCAAGTTGTTTATTGATCTCAATGTGCAAATCACGAAGGTGTTGTGCAAATGCTTCGGCTGATACTGACACTCTAGCCTGTGGGGACATAGGGATGAGATCTAATGGTTTCCTAGGCTTGTATCCGTGAACGGCTTCAAATGGACTCATACCTAATGAACGATTTACGGAGCTATTATACGCGATTTGAGCGACAAGAAGGATTAAATCCCAATTTCGAAGGTTCTTCCGGACCAGACAACGTAATAAGTTACCAAGACTCCGATTAACAACTTCGGTCTGACCGTCCGTTTGAGGGTGGTAGGCTGTAGAAAATTTTAATTTGGTGCCCATCTTATGCCACAAAGTCCTCCAAAAATGGCTAGTGAAGCGAACGTCCCTATCGGACACGATGGTCTTGGGAAGTCCATACAGTTTGACAATCTCATTAAAGAATAACATGGCAACCTTGGACGTATCCGATGTTTTGCTACAGGGGATAAAGTGAGCCATTTTCGAGAAACGATCGACAACCACGAAAATAGAATCATGCTTCTTTGGGGTGCGTGGCAGGCCTAGCACAAAATCCATACTAACGTCTTGTCACGGACAATTGGGGACGGGGAGAGGAGTGTATAGGCCTGTGTTCTGCTTCTTCTGTTTGGCCAATTGACAAGTGTTACATATACTAACAATTTTAGCCACATCTCTCTTTAAACTAGGCCAATAGAATTGGCGTTCAACCTCCTCAATGGTCTTATCACGCCCAAAGTGACCGGCTAACCCTCCTGCGTGAACTTCCCACACTATAAAATCTTGCACTGAAGTTCGAGGGATGCACAATTTATTGGCTCAAAAGAGATAACCCTTCTCAAGTCGAAAGCCATCTGTGCTGTTTGATTGTCCTCCTTGCAAATCGAGAAAGATATCCTTAAAATCTGGGCATGCCTCGTAATCCTCCTTAAGCCTTTCAAAACCAATGACTTTGACACTCATGATCGATAAAAGGGAGACACGACGACTTCACGCGTCAGCTGCTTGGTTCTCCACGCCCTTCTTGTGTTTTAAAACAAATGAATAGGCCTGCAAATATTCAACCCACCGTCCATGCCTAGAACTTAATCTCTTCTGAGAGTTGAGGTAACGGAGGGCTTCGTGGTCCGAATAAAGGACAAATTCTTGAGGCAACAAGTAGTGGCGCCAATAGCGCAAAGCCTGGACCACCGCATACAGTTCCTTATCATACGTTGAATATCGTCGTTTGGCCTCATTTAACTTTTCGCTGAAATAGGCGACAGGGTGACGATCCTGACTTAAGACTCCGCCTATACCTACCCCAGAAGCGTCACATTCAACTTCAAAGACTTTGGAAAAATCGGGAAGACGCATGACAGGAGCTTCTGTCATTCGCTCCTTGATTAACTTAAAGGCCTTTGCCGCCCCGATTGTCCAATGAAACTCCCCTTTCTTCATGCACTCCGTGATAGGCGCCATAATAGTGCTAAACCCTTTAATAAAACGGCGGTAAA